TTGATGTCAAACCATGCAATGTAGGGACCAAAGGGAGGCCCAAACGTTATCTGTTGGATAACCACTTGTATACCTAATCCTGAATTGTACCCTACATCTTTAAAATAAAAAAAAAAAAAAAAAAAAATTTGCCGGGCATGATAGCATGTGCCTGTAGTTCCAGTTACTTGGAAGGCTGAAGCAGAAGGATCGTTGGAGCCCAGCAGGTTGAGGCTGCAGTGGACGGGAGCATGTCACTGCACTCCAGTCTGGGTGACAGAGGGAGATGCCAACTCAAAAAAAATATTTCAAAGTAAATAAATAAATAAAACCCTCTTACTTAGCAAGTCGTATTAGAATTCAGAGGCTGAGCACGGTGGCTCAAGTTTGTAATCCCAGTACTTTGGGAGGCTAAGGTGAGGAGATTGCCTGAGCTCACGGGTTCGAGAACAGCCTGGGCAAGACCTCGTCTCTACAATAAATAAATACAAAAATTAACCGGGCATGGTAGCACACATCTGTAGTTCTGGCCACTTGGAAGGCTGAGGCAGAAGGATTGCCTGAGCCCAGCAGGTTGACACTGGGGTGGGTGTGAGTATGCCACCACACTCCAGCCTGGGTGAGTGAGATTCTAACTCAAAAAAAAAAAAAAAAAAAAAAGAATTCCAGAAAAAGGAAAAAAACCTAACAAGTACTTTCTATGTTACTAGTCATATTGCCTAAGCATAGTAAATGTTTATTTTCACCTAAGGTAAAAATCAGTCTCTTGGTATTCAATGGACATCGAGGAAGTGTGGGTTGCATGTATTAGAGCATGCAAAAATCATATGTTAATAAAAGAAAAGCTTCAATGACTAAATACAATGGGTAAAAGGAATACAATTAAACCGATTAACTTATGCAGTTTCTTATGCTTGTTAAACTACTTAACTAAACCTCTGAAAGCTGGCTAGATTATGATACTTACAGCTTAATGAGGCAATAACAAAGTAGTAGGAAGGCTCTCCTTTTCCACAGTATCCTGGGACTTCATCTAGTACTGGGGTTGTACACTATTGCATTAACAAAGACCCAGCTGGGTTCGGTGGCTCATGCCTGTAATCGCAATACTTTGGGAGGTCGAAAAGGAAGGATTGTTTGAGCCCAGGAGTTCGAGACCAGCCTAGGCAACATAGCGAGACCTTGTCTCTACAAAAAAAAAAAAAAAAAAAAATCACCCAGACGTGCATGCCTATAGTCCCAGCTACTCAGGAGGTTGAGGCTGGATGGTCGCCTGAGCCCAATTCAAGGCTGTGTTATGCCACTGCACTCCAACCTGGGTGACAGAGTGAGACTCCCACTCAAAAAAAAAGCAGATCTAATCTAGTTTAAGAAAGGAATATGGAATATGAATCTTGCTTACTTGGAAGAAGGTATCTTTCCTAGGAAGCCTCCAAAAGTAGTTCCACAAAACCCCAGCAGAGCAGATCCAAAAACCATGGGTCCAGTCCAACCTTATCTCATATTACAGATAAGGAAACTGAGGAAACCAAGGCTTTCAAACAGAGCTATTAATAATGTTTAAGAGTAAGTGTATCGAGTTAGTAGTTAACACTAGTAATGGTAGGTGCTTTACAAAGACTGAATCCTCAGAAAATCTCTGTTAACAAAAGAGTTCTTAATCAATAAGTATTTTACTATACTGCTCTATTGGTGGTATTCAAAGACAACTATTTTTTCCAATCAATGGCAAATGACTTCAGATCCCTGGGCTACACTTAGAGCCACATCTTTCTGCACAGAATTTAAATTACCAGAAACTAATTAATAGTTCCTCTGATTCTGTTCTTTACTCCATGCTCTTAGTTCGAATTCAGCTGTATTCATATGAGAACATTTCTGGCCAAGGGAAACTTAAGAGAATACTGGTGCGGAATTAAGCATCAAATATACAACACCATGTCCTTCCATATGTCTGTAATCCATACAGCCCATTCCAGCTAATGATCCTTCTTTCTTACCTGGGAATTTGGCTGGAAGGCAGCATGGGGTGTTGAGTGTTTCTGTAAATTTTCTAGCATTAGAGCCTGGTATAGAGAAGGGCAAAAGTCAGAAACCAGGAGTAAAAAAAAAAAAAAGGAAAACAAACTCCCGCCCTCCCACAAACTTTTCATTAAATGCACTGACTTAAATGCACACACTTAAACTGCATTCCTTTTCCAGGTCTCTAAAAGCCCTTTACTAACACTGTTCTTATTCATCTTCAGAAGACGCTTTAAGGTAGCCATGGTTACTGCTCCTAAATGTACAGATGTAAAATGCAGACACAGAGAATCAGTGACCAGGCTATGTCATAAAATCTGTGGCAGAACCAATACTACAGTCCCTGTTATCTTCTGCACTTTTGACAAGTGCCCCTTCTAAATCTGGCCATGCAGGTAAAATTACTTCAAATACTCAAAACAGCTTTAAATACATGAAACCAACATGGGGCTGCCAGTTTTGGCCTGAGTCAAAAAGTTACCTAGGACTAGATCTACTTGAGTAAACTCGTATAATTTCTGGCAGAGTGGTACCTCGATTTATTAAATTTATAAAAATTTCAGAGGAGGCTAAGGAATAAAATGAACACAAACCCTGTAAAACCTGTGTTCTGACATAATCCCCTCCCCCTCCCACATGCACGTACAAAACTGTCAGCTTCTGTATAAGCAACGGTCTGCCAACTCAACTCTTGAGCCAACGTAGTCTGTACTACCTGCCACGTATCCTAATTAACACCAAGACATCTCATCTTCCCTCCGTTTGCACCAAACCTATGTACACCGTTCTAACTACCTCATGACGATCCCACCCCAATCTACTCAAACCGATTCCAAATCACCAACATATACCAATCTGCCTCAGCCCTCTCGCCGATATTCACCAGACTCTTATCCATACAAACTGCTCCTAGATGCCCTATAAATTAGACACCTCTCTATCATCATGTCTCTTCAAATCAAGGTTTCCCTTCATCTCACCACCTAATCTAATCAAGCAGACATCTTTACCCCAATCCTATTCTTGTGGATACGGATAACAACCCTAAATACCCCTCCTCCCCACTAGACCCCTAACTCAGACCCAGCCCCACCTGGCTCCCTCAGGCCAGCAACGCCGGTGGTTGTAGTGGGATTTAACTCCTTCTGCAGCGCATGCGCCGAAACCACAGACACAAACAAGGAGGGGGTGGGGGAAGGAGGAAGGAGCTTAAGACACTCCAGGAGAGTAGCGCGCACCCTCCCATTTTGGGCTCGCGCTGCTGCCGTTAAGGCGGGAACCGGCGCGATCACTATTCCAGCGCGAGCCTCACCAACCACCGTGCGCGCGGATCCAGAGGCTCGCGCTGGCGGCCTGAGCGAGCTCGCGCCGAGCCCGGACACTGCGCCTGCGCCGCGGCAGAGACTCGTCTCTACCGGGTCCGCTCCCCTCCGGCACCCCAGCAACGCCGACTCCTCACCCCTTTGAGCCGCTTGACCAGGGCACTCTTCTGCCCGCTCTTGGCTAGGCCTCGCTGCTCCAGTGCGGCCTTCAGGTCGGTCACCCGCAGCGCCTGAAGAGGCTTCCCGTCCAGAGTCACCTCCTCCAGCTCCGCCATCTTGCGTGAGGTACTCGGGTCCGTCCCGACGGCTTCGGGCATCTTCGGTAATTTCCGCCAACGCCCTTCGAACGTACCGAGCTGACCCCGCCCACTGCCATAGTCTACCCCTCGATTACCACTCAGAACTCCCCGGGTTCCTCCGGAACTGCTCGGGTGTTTCCGTCTCCACATCGGCACCAATCGCTGCTTTCTATCCGCCCTGCAATTTCCCCTCGTTCGTCCTGCTTTCAGGTTCGGTTGTCTTCGTCCTGCCGAGGCTTTGAATCGAATCTGTTCGGAAGCCCTCGACTCTGGTGTATCCATACTCGGAGATATTCGTTTATCTCCGGCCCTGGAGCTGAGGCGCTGGGGTGCTTGGGTGTTTGGGGCGGGGCCAGGGCCGGAAGTGCGTGGGCTGCTCGGCTTGCCCTGCTTGGGGTTTTCAGGAAAGTTGGAAGCGGCGGCGATAGTTGGAACCTAAAGTCTCGTTGTGGCCGTCTCCTGGTACCCTCTGAGAGAAGAGGGGAGGTAAGCGGGTTTGAAGTTTTGGGGGCTGGGCAGACTCGGTTGCTTGTTGCCCCAAAATGTCAAGCCTCCCACTTCCTGACGAAAACAGCTGCCCCGATCCTCCGAATCCCTGCCACTCCCATTTCTAAGGCTTAGTTGCTTTTGTCTGGGGCGTCGTAGTAATAGGCTCCGTGGACTCCAAAGCGGGTAAGAGGCAGCTCCGTATCTTTGGACCCAGACTGTCAAGTGATTCAGGGCGCTAAACTTGAGTTTGCCTTGGAAGTCATGTGGCGAGACTGGAAAACTCCCTTTCCCTGAGTAAGAGAACAAACTTCCTTCAGGAGGCGCTGCTGCTTGTAGGGCAAAAACTGAAAAGGCAAGCCCCCGTACTCTTTTAGTATTTGAATTAATATTATCAAGGTTTTTTTTTCTTTGTAATTACAGGTCCTCCAGTTTGCCATAGAAGAAACACAAACAGTAAAATAGGTCACAAGTAGTTTAAGGTTTTCATTGTTAGAGATTCAAAATGTGGGACGGAAAACTGCCCAAGTTAAGTTGGCAGACCTTTCAGTTGCATTCGTAATGCAAAATCAGTCGTGCAGGGCATCGACAGGTATATTAAATATTAAGGAAAACTGTTCTAAGACATGAACTGTCATACAACAGTATAACACTTGTTTGATTCTGTAAGCCCACAAACCAACTGGACTGTTTTTTCAGAGTCTTGAACAAACCCCTGGATACTCTCTCTCTCTTTTAAAATGTGTTACTTTATTTTGGGCAAGTCCCTTACTTGCTCTTTATTTTTTCCTGTTGCTCTACAGGCAATATAAGGAGGTAACAGATGTTACGAAGTTGTTGGCTTATTTCAGAGGCTATGATACGTGCATTGAAGTCTCTTTCATCATGTATGATTTTTTTTTTTCACTCTTGGTAACTCCAGAACGATTAGCATCTAGGCCTCGACTAGCTACATGTACTAGATTTAAAAATGTGGGGCCGGGCTTGGTGGCTCAGCCTGTAATCCCGGCGCTTTGGGAGACCAAGGTGAGTGGATTGCCTAAGTCCGCGGGTTTGAGACCCGCCCGGGCAACTTGGCGAGACCTCGTCTCTACAATAAATAAAAATTAGCCAGCTGTGGTAGCGCGTGCCTGTAGTTCCAGCTACTTGGAAGACTGAGGCGGAAGGATCGCCGGAGCCCAGCAGGTTGAGGCTGTGGTGGCTGGGAGCACGCCACTGCACTCCAGTCTGGGCGACGGAGTGAGACTCCAACTCAAAAAAAAAAAAAGTGTACTTTTTCATTTTGGAGAATATGTGATGGGCCAACAGTAATCTTTTTTTTTTCTTTTTTCCTTTACTACCCAACCTGGAACATAGAAGTAGGAGAGAGAGAATGAGCAAGAAATATGTTCGTTATTTTTAGATTCTTTATATGAAAGATGGAGGGAGGCAGTAGGTAGGGAGAGTAGTGAATTTGAAAAAGAAACGGGCAGGCTGGAAAATATGAAATGATGTCATTCTTGGATGACTTATTTTAGGTAGTTAGATAATAAGTTAAATAAAAGACCCTATTGTTTTCCTGTAAGTTGAAATGGTGAAGAGTAATTTTCTCTGCTGATGCAGTGTGGTAAGATTTCTTCTTGCTGGGAAGTTGTATTTTACTTGCTCTATCTAGAGAGTATGACGCAGTGCTTTTATGTTTCAGGATGCCACTGGAATCATCTTCCTCTTCGATGCCTCTATCCTTCCCTTCTCTCCTACCCTCAGTACCAGACAACATTACCAACTCTTCCCCTCCCTCAATGTCTTACATCACTTCCCAAGAGATGAAATGTATTCTTCATTGGTTTGCCAGTTGGTCAGGTCCCCAGCGTGAACGTTTCCTAGAGGACCTGGTAAATAAGGCAGTGCCGGGAAAATTACAGCCACTGCTGGATAGTCTGGAGCAGCTTAGTGTGTCTGGAGCAAATCGACCACCTTGTATCTTTGAGTGCCAGCTACGTCTTTGGGATCAGTGGTTTCGAGGCTGGGCTGAGCAGGAGCGCAATGAATTTGTCAGACAGCTGGAGTTCAGTGAGCCAGACTTTGTGGCAAAGTTTTACCAAGCAGTGGCTGCTACAGCTGGTAAGGACTGATAGGCATTTGGACTAAAGAAGATAACCACAGCTGATGGAGTCAAAGCCAAGGCTGACTCTGCAGTGAGAACGCAATTCAGATGTATCATCTAAAGTTCTGGAGGCGGTATCCCGATCAGCTGACTGAACTCACTGACCAGCACAGGCATGGTTATTTCTACATTAACAGCATGTCAACTGGACTTCTTGTGTAAATGTTATCCATCTAAGCAATCCAGATCATCGCTCTGTCTTCTAGTTTGCATCTGTCCAAGAGATGTCAAACCCTCAAGAATTTGAGCCAGACGCAGTTGCTCATGCTTGCAATCCTAGCACTCTGGGAGGCAGAGGCAAGAAGATTGCCTGAGCCCATGGGTTTGAGACCAACCTGGGCAGCATGGCGAGACTTTGTCTATAATAAGTTAAAAAATTTTCCGGGCATGGTGGTGCACGCCTGTAGTCCCAACTACTTGGAAGGCTGAAGTGGAAGGATCACCTGAATTCAGATGATTGAGGCTGCAGTGGCCATGAGTATGCCACTGCACTCCAGCCTGGGTGACAGAGTGAGACTCCCAACTCAAAAAAAAAAAAAAAAAGAATTTTATGGCTACTTTTGAAACTATAACCAGGACCAGGCTCAGTGACTCAGCCTCTAATTCCCAGGACTTTGGGAGGCCAAAGTGAGTGGATTGCCTGAGCCTGAGGGTTTGAGACCAGCCCGGGCAACTTGGCGAGACAATAAATTTTAAAAAAAATTAGCCAGGCATGGTAGCGTGCGCCTGTTGTTCTGGCTACTTGGAAGGCTGAGACGGAAAGATTGCTGGAGTCCAGCAGGTCATCACTGGGTTGGCTGTGAGTGTGCCACTGCGCTTCAGCCTGGGCGACAGAGTGAGACTCCAACTCAAAAAAAAAAGAAAGAAACTATAGCTGGGCTCAGTGGCTCAGCCTGTAATCCCACGCTTTGGGAGGCTGAGGTGAATGGATTGCCTGAGCCCATGGATTCGAGACCCGCCTGGGCAACTTGGCGAGACCTCATCTCTACGATAAATCAAAAAAAAAATTAGCCGGGTGTGGTAGCGCATGCCTGTAGTTCCAGCTACTTGGAAGGCTGAGGCGGAAGGATCGCCGGAGCCCAGCAGGTCGAGGCTGCAGTGGCCAGGAGCGGCCACTGCATTCCAGTCTGGGTGACAGAGTGAGACTCCAATTCAAAAAAAAAAGAAAAGGAAAGAAACTATAACTGAAAGGAACCTACACATTTATAACTCAAGCCCACTCTTGACCCGTGAGGTGTATAAAATAAGTGCTTCTTCCCTGGAAATGAGAACAACAATAAAAGATCATATTTTTATTCTTTTTTTTTGAGTTGGAGTCTCATTCTGTCGCCCAGAGTAGAGTGCAGTGGTCGCTCCTGGCCACTGCAGCCTCGACCTGCTGGGCTCTGGCGATCCTTC